TTTGTTTTTGTAGGCCTGTCTTTAGCCTTTAAAAACTGTTTTTTTTTTTTTTTTTTTTTTTTTTTGTAGCCCTTTGGTCACAACCAGTCACAACAAGATATTCTCCAGGAGAACACAATTCTGAAAGCTACTGAGGTGCAGTTCCCTCCAAAGCCAGTAGTCACGCCAGAAGCAAAGGTAAACCTTCTTGCAGCGAGTTTGATCACACTGTGTATGTCAGTCGGCGATCGGCACTGGTAGTTCTGTCCTCTTGGTTTCCCTAAAATCAGCAGGAGTTCTGTGTTTAATGCTTGCCTCCTATAGAGTGCTCAGTGGCTTTGTGTTGTTGTAGTTGTCAGGCTGAGGATTGAACAGAGTGCAGTGTGTGCCTCTGCCTGTGCTTTCTGCTGATAAAAGATGAGCTTCTGGTGTAGGAGCTGGCCTGTCTCTGTGGTCACTGGGGAAGGAATTTCAGTGCTGGGGTTGTCAGATTGGCCCTGCTCTTGAAGAGTTATCTGTCAAAGAAAGCTTCCTGTTTCTGTCCGTCTACTAATTCTTGTTTTGCCTTTGGGGTATCTGCAGGCATTTATCAGACGTTGTTTGGCCTACCGAAAGGAGGATCGGATAGATGTCCAGCAGCTGGCCTGTGACCCATACTTGCTGCCTCACATCCGCAAATCTGTATCCACAAGCAGCCCAGCTGGAGCTGCAATTGCATCAACCTCTGGATCATCCAATAACAGCTCTTCAAACTGAGACAGAGTAATAAGCCAAAAACTGCTTGAGAAACCGGCAAAAAGACTTTCAGAAACAGCTTTGGAATAGAGGAATCCATAAGGGTCTCAAGAAACCTGTACCAGGTGCTTTTTTTCTCTTGCTTTTTTCCATCCATAGAGCATGACAACATCAACTCTCATCAAGAAAACCTTCGGCATCTAGGCCAAGCCATGTGGATAGGAGATGGCTTGAGGTTTATCCAGTAAATGACCACAAAAGGGTGGCTGCTCTGAGCAAGGAGGGGAAACTCAAGAAAAATACAAAAAGACATGGTTCCATGTACTGTGAACTTCTGAACATGCAGCCTTGGGGAATCCAGGACGCCGTGTGTGCTTCATATGAAGAATGTGGACTTTGGAAAAAGACTGGGCTAGTCCAGTGTTGATATTTAAACATTGTTCTTTTTTCTTTTAATAAAGTTTAGGTAACATCTCCTGAAAAGCTCGAAGCACCAAGGTTCAGCTGGGGATGGTATATGACTCTTTGCCCTTTGGAGGGGAAAAAAGTTGATCCTGCCTGTTCATGGCACTAGAGTTAGTGTTTTACCCCTAATTAATTTCAGTTTTTTTAAAAATAACAATTTTTTGGAAGAAAACAGTTTTCTGGTCTCAAAGTGAAACCCGTATTAGCAGGTTCATGGCAGTGTCCATTCTGCAGATGGTGCAGCTTTCTGCTCTCTTGGGGTGGCCTCTTATGAATGATTCTTCTTCTCAGGAGGGCGGTGGAGCCCATAGGAGAACAGGCCTGCGTAGATCTCCTGTGATCAGAGTGGATCACAGCTCAGACTGCCACAAGGTTTTTGGCTGCTGCTTCATAGCTCTCACAACGGTTGCACCTTTTTAATTTATTTGCAGTGCTGTTCTTTTTGAAAACACATTCTGACAAGTTCACGATGTGCTCTCTACTCTCTTGAGCATGATATCTGTTGACTGTTGAAAAGGCAGGCAGCGAACAGGAAAGAATCAGAGCACAGCTCAGTTGATCACAGGTGTGATCTGTGCTCACGCAGTACTGTACATATCTTGTTCATGTTATAAAAATCCAAAGCTGAAGACTTGTCTGCTCTTCTCAGTTAGGTGACTTGGCAGCAAAGCTTCCTCTCTTCCTTAACGCTTTCCTTTTAAAACTTGCTGACTTTCCTAACTTGCTGCCATTGTTGCATCCGATTTCAAATGAGAGGGAATGAGATAATGTTCTTGAAAGGAGCAAACACCCTAATTATTATTTTTGTCTCCCTTCTGTAATCTGCCTGGAAGAGTCTTACACCTTCAGCTGGAGTCTGCCTGCTGTGAAACGCAAGCCTCTTGTTCCCACTCTGCCCCCTTTTCCCTCCACGTTGAAGGAAAACTGAAAACACACACAAAAAGCACAGCACTTGAACATGTGGCAGCCAGGTTGGAGTGCTCCGAACATGTGGCAGGAGTTCATAGCCAGAAATATTTAAAGATGCAGTGTTCAAGAGCAAGGTTTGTCTCGGGAGGGAGCTGAGTGGTGCACTACTGCAATTCAGGGTGTTGTTTAAAAAGCAGATTACCCTGTGCACACTTCCTAATCCCATACCCAGACCACCATGGTGCGGACTGTCCTCTGTGTGGCACCTCTGGGATTGTACCCACCACTCCAGCAGTGTGTGGGCTGTTTGGGGCGCTCAGTACCCAAATGGCATTATCATGGCAAACAATGTTCTCTGTCACACACTTTCAGAGAGAACTACCATTTGTCTGCCTTATTGTAAGCCATCATCTGCAAATATTATGCTTAAAACTGATCAGGAACTTTTAGTTAACTGAAAGATGGAGGAGTCTGTTGAAGTTAAGCAATAGACCTCAGAAGTGGAGAACTCTGCTGCTTTGGTTTTTATTACTATTTTTGTAGTGACTCTTGGGCTTTTAATTAGATGTATTCACTTGCAACTGCATTAAGGTGGTCTCTAAACTGTAGTGTTTTAAACAAAGTAAAGAAATACTGCATCTTTAAATCCTTAGCCATAATTTCTTAGCCCTTTCCATCCATGCTGCTCTATTTTAGAAGTTAACTGTTTAGCAAGCAGCACTTCGACATGTCTGTTCAGCCTCTGTCAGGCGAAGTCAGGGTTGATGCTTCATCCCGTTTGATGATTTGGTGTCTGTCCATATTGGTGAGAATTCTAAAAGGGTTTTTTCTATCCCAGTCCCCTTGTTTCTTGGACATACAGTGTGTGCTATCTCTGTGGGTGTGATTAGTTTTGTCAGATGCATATTTATGCCTGCTGTGCAAGACCACTCCAAGGGCCTGGGGA